CCACGCAGCAAAACAACATCACTTAAATCCAGATATAACAAGGATGTACCGAAGAACTGTAAGCTTTAATGCAGTAGCTATTTCAGCTGCAGCTATAATAAAAGTGTCTTCGGGTGTAAAGGGTTAAAAGTCTTACATAAAAGATCACATTTTACTTCAGCATTTATTCAAATTGGCTATCCTCAAGCATGTCTTCGATGGATTTCGCAACCGAATTTTTCATACGATAATCAATATTGTATTCTTAATATTTTACATAATATTTCTCGACATAAAAGTGGTACACAAATTTTGAATAAACAAAATGCATTAGAAACACTTCGTGATTATAGACCTCAAATTGTTTTAAAATCATCAGCATTATCTCGAACACAATATTCGGATTTAGCCGTACTCTTTCGCATGATCTATGCACTTTTGCTTGAACCGGATGAATTGAAAAAATCTGTAAAATCACTGAACCAATTTTTTATGTACTATCCGTTTCAATTCTAAACATATGTGGATATACGACAAATGTCAGTCTACAACCTACCATAAGTGCCAACTCTTCATCTCCCTTGGTTCGGAGTCAACAGGCTACCTTCGGGAACCTACCTGTCGACTAAATCTGACGTCCGGAAACCTTAAAAACACATGAAACATCGGTTTTAGAACGTGGCAATGTTTTTTTGTTGTCATGGTTAAGTAAACTTCAAAGGGTGAATTTTTCAGAAGATTGGGTTTTTCCGCTATGATCGTACTGAAATAAAAACCTTCTAGCACCCTCATTTCTCAACCAAATTGCATGAAGATTGAAGAGTGAGCATACTAGCAGGTGTTCTATAACAATAAAAAACAAAGCGGATCCTCGACAGGTTTCTCAGAAAACCTCTGAAGACCCTTAGGTGGAATCTCAATATGAAATCATAATCCTAACATTCCTAACTGTACAGTAAGCGGAACTGAGTGACTTTTGAAAATTTGAAGCCCTTTGGTAGAGAAATGATGCTAGAAAGTTTTTATTTTAGTACGGTCATAGCGAAAAACCAAATTTTCTGAAAACTTCATCTTTTGAAGTTTGTTTAATCCTGACAACATGTAGATGAAGAGTTGAGACTTACGGTAGGTTGTAGAGTGACATCAGTTGTATATCTACATGTGTTTAGAACAGTACTTTGCTATGTAGTTTTTTGAAATGGCATACTTGGACATTTTGTTTCGAAAGGTACATCGTGGTAAACCTTTTCAAGAGACCGGGTTTGTACAAACCATTTCTGAATCAAGTTCGTCAGCATTCAAAGATGTTTGTGTTTGGCAGCAATTTTGGTTTATTCGCATTATCAAGTTTCTGTCATTTGCGACGAAGACTACGAAAATGTTATCTAAGCACAAATGCTAAGGGTGGTATTTTTTTGACGAAAAGTGCTTAAGGTGTTATATTAGTTTTGATTTCTTTCAATATCTTTTCGTGTAAAAACGCTGCATAATTCCCTGGCCCTCCCTGCCTTTTTGGAAAACCCATTTAGTATCATTGGGAAAACTTTTTTGAGTCTACCCTAGACTGACTTCGTTCCGCCGACTGAATCTGAAGAGAATAAGCTATTTTTCTCATGAAAGTGCGTGTTCTTTGATATAAATTACGAATGCGAACTTGCGAAAGAAAATTTTTTAGAAAGCCAGATCCATGAGTTTGGACTTGTTTAAATTTTAAGATCAATAGATATCTTCCAATTTGACGAATCAGCATTGCTTTTCCTTTTCTTAAGTAGAAAGCAGTCATCCTCGACTAGAAAAATCGAAGGCTGTCGGGAAGCAAACATAATTTAGAATGCTTTTGAGCAAATAAAATGCATGAATCACCCTTATTTATACCTGAAAACTGCCAGCAGCAATCAAAACAGATTCTTCATCCGAAAGCTGCTGCTTGCCTCAGTTGATACATAACTTCGCATGTTCACAATTGATATATGACATGTTCAGCTAATGTTCATCTCTACAAAATCCCAACTTTTTGTTTGTGCATTTTTCTTTCCTGTACTCCTAAGGTGAACTTTGCTTTTCTATTTTTTTTCGATTTTCAATTTGTTATTATTATTAATAGAAAATTTAATGTCATTTAATAATTAACTCTTGTAGACGAGAAATAAACATTTTTAATTAATTTTTCGAAAAATCGTCATAACCGATCCGAGAGAAAAAATTCGATATAGATACTTTTCACTGAAAAGTTATGGTTTTATACGCGGATCTGTATCAATCTGTTTGTATAACTATTTTTTCCAAGTTTACCTGTAACTTCAAATTAATTATACGTACATCTAATAGATTTTATTACTGCGTTAGTACATACAGTAGGTATTTATGTCCTTGAGTGGGAAAAAACACATTTCTTTTTCTATTCAAAACGATAGATATACTGTGATTTTTTTTTCTCTTCTCTTTCTTCTTCATTTGACCTATATTTTTGACAATTCGATACTTCAGGTCACAGACACCTCATAATAAAGTGTACTTGTTCTAGGTCAACAAATAGCAATGGTTGGCCGATATGAACTGTTCAGGCAAACTGAAAGTATATTTAATCTGATGTGGTCATGAAGGTTAAGCATGACTGAAAATGAAGCAAACTCCCTACACATAAATTTTTATTGGGCCGGAATCTGGTAAGGATGTTGTCAGCTTTTTATGTGCTTTTGCTAAGACTCTTATCCGATTCTTATATAAGATGTGGCACGAAAGTTGCACGAATTTCATAAGAATCAGATAAGAATCTTATAAGAATTTCACAAGAAAGTAATAAGGGTTCTTATTAGTATCTTGTCGCGTTCTTATAAAATTCTCATAACAAAAGTTTTTCTGATCATTCGTGATAGTTCCCTTAGCACTTTTCTTAAGTAATGAATAAAAAAAGATTTTTTAAAAGACCCGGTCCGTCCAGAGTCAAACCTTGGGAGTTGTTCATGATAATCCATGGGTTCTGCTATTGAGATACTGCGGACACATTTATATCTAAACATCGCGTCTTTATAGTCTGTCACAACATCTGTTTCAATTTCGAACTTCTCTTATAAGTACTGCTTAGTATTTTGAGTATGAAAATGGTGTGGATCACGATGGAATATAATTTAGTGCACTGACATTTTAAGTATGATAGTGGATTCTACACATGGGACTGCGTTGTTAAACTTCTTTGACTTAACGAAAATCTACGAAGAAAAAATTATTTCTGTGAAATTTTACTGGAAATAAATAAATATGTTCTTACTCGATTCTTATCGGATTCTTATGGAATTAGTGCAACTTCGGCGTGTCACTTCTTATATAAAAATCGGATAATATTCTTATCAGAAATTTCAAAAACATTTGCGTATAGCAGTAGAGGGCTCAATTAGAGCAGGAATGCCGTAGATATTGTGAAATGTGTTGTTGATAAATATTTTATGAATGGTTTACATCTTTCAAATTATATTTATGCTCGACATAGAGGACAAAATGGCAAAATATTTAGTCAAAAATTGTTCAAAGTAAGCGCTATATCTCTCTTTTTCCATCTTTA